ACACACACACACACACACACACACACACTGTTTGTACCATAATCACAGCTTAGAGGTTTGCATTCACCTCTTGATCCTGCTGATCAGTTGCTGTTCCTCACCAGCAGCATTTGTATTTGAAGCAGATGAGCTGATAGTGGCTTTGAAAACTAAAATGTGTCAATTAATATTGTTTGCGTTAATAATCAATTAATAAACATGTAGCGATAGAGACTTCTGTGCGTGTGTGTGCTAATGAGATACACTGTTTTGTAATAGCATCCTTATTTGGGGCCGACATTTATACACAGATTAATTGTGAGACTACGCTGGTATTTAAGATATGTTAAAGATAATGACTCTATCTACGATCCATTTACTAGTAGAAGAGGGAATCACCAGGCAAGCCAAGATACCATTTGACAATAATTTGCTCACAATATGATATTGTTGCGATTTTTAATATTTTTCAATAACACGTGCAATTTATCATCTTTTAAAAAAAAAAGGTTAATAATGCCCTAAAAGTTAAACTGTCAGTATCAGTTTTATTCAATAATAAGTTATGACATTTCTTTTTTTTTTTTTTCTTTTTTTCTTTTTTTGGGGGGTTCAAAGTGAGATTATCAATCACACCAACATTGTTACTAAAACCTGCCATAACATGGAGTCAGTCTGCTATCAGTCTGCAACTAGATGGGGTCAAGTTAACATGCAATCTGTTTTTGGAAATACATCAATTAACTGTGATAAATCATTAAAAATCACACAGCAGTCGTCTGTCTACAAAGAAATTCATGTTAAACTATTATTCAAGTCCAAACCTTCAACAATCTCTGCAGTTAGCCCAAAGGTTGCTCTCCTGTTTTCACTTGTGTGAAGTCATGAGGTAGTTTTGTCAGCTAAGTATGCCCAGTGTTGGCTGGGCTCAGCTCACAATGAGCCCTGAGCATGAGGTGACCCTCTCGTTTGTAGTGCCCCAGAGTATTTTGGTATCCCTATTTGCCATATTGTGATGCTATGCTGGATCTTTTTTATTCCCTCCAACCCTGTTTAATAGAGGACAGTAACTTCACATAAGAATAAAGTTCAAAACTAGCCCCTGTTCTCCCTGTGTGGTATTTATGTGCCAAAGGCATTAATGTGGTGGTCCTCGGTGTCAATCACTGTCTCCTCTGGGAGTGTCTCAGTCAGACAGACATGGACATCAGACAACGGTCTGAGAAAGAAACTTCATCCACGGGGTGGGCGACTCACCGCAGAGGCAGCTGATTTTGTTGAATTGTTGCATGCCATTAAATGGGCATTTTAATAAAGGAACAAACTGTTTGTTAATCCCCATCACACGCACACAGTCTTCAAGTGACCTTAATTTGTTGCTTTTACAGTATTATAGATTTCTCTAAAATTAATGCAGAAAGTGTAACTTGCTTTGGCTCTGTAATTCCAGAACCTTAGATTTTCTCCCTGCTGATCGTTTTTATTCCTCGACTACAAACAATACAAGGACTTGAAAAAACAGACGTGTTGAGGTTCGTAGTGTGGATGTCGCTCTTCATGTATTTGCTCCTCGTTGCTAGGCAGCTTTCTCTTTTTCACACCTTCACACATGGGTTTGTGAAATCCGTCTTGTAACCCGCTCCCTCCTCCATCCCCCTTTGGCTTTACCTCCCTTTCTCTCAGCTCTGTCACCCCTCTGTGTGCCCTCCTGTTATTCAACTCCTCTTGAACGGCTTCTACATTTTTACCACGTCCTTTCTAAGCTTCCCTCCTTCATCCCCTCCACCACCTCCTCCTTTTTCTCCCTTACCCCAGTGAACAGAGGCCTCAGTGTGCGGGTCCTTGGGCCAAGTGGCAGCAGAATGGGAGGGGGTGTGAGGATTGAAACGGGGGAGGAGACGAGCAAAAGGCTGTCACAAAAGCCTTGTTTAGAGGTGTATTTGGATGCTAACACAGACGTCCTGGGAGCACTGAACTCCAGTGGTGGTCTGTTTTTCTGATGTGGCCACTCTATATCACAGGCCTCATTTCATGATACAGTAGCTGTGTCATTAGCCTAAACTATGTAAACCACTATGTTCCACTAAACAAGCTAACATAAGATGTGACATGATCCTAAACAAGCTAAAATTAGCTTAAACAAGACACATTCCTAGCTTAAAATAAAGGCACTAATATAAAGTAAAACACTATGTTAAACAAGATAACATTAGCTGCTATGTTAGCCTAAACAATTTAACAGGATGTAAAACAAGTTAATTTTAGCTGATATACTAGCCTAATCCTTTGAACATTAGCTGCTACATTAGCCTAAAGAACCGAAGATAAATTGCTACCTTTAAATAAAAGCATTAACAAAAGCTGCTACAATTTCATATTTGTCAAAAAAAAAACCACGAGCTAATAAAAACAGTAGTATAGGAAGATAACTGGTGTAGGAGTCATTTTTCTTGTGCACTTATCTGTATCGCCACTAGGGGGTTGTATTTCATTTCATGCACTTGTTATGACAGGCAGGTATGAGGTTATTTAGGGTCAAAGTTAATTCTGTTCAGGTCTTAAATATTGTCTTTGTTTAAATGGAAAGATAAACGGACATTGCAAAGGAAATAAATGACTCGTGAATATAAATGAAAATGAAGATTTGGCACGGTGAACTGTGACTGAGTGCACGTAAAAGCAACGCCTACTAACAAACAAGTAGCAACCAGTAGCATCAAAATATAGGATTTACTCGCTACAACAGCGATATTCAACTTTTATCATGTACGTCTGATTTTTTTCGTTTTCTTTTTTTTTATATAATTTAAAGTTCATAAATTCCAGGAAAACTACCACTTTTTATGGGACTTTCTCCGTGTTGAGGTACTTGGATTCACTTCATTTCATGACTGCTAGGACAGCAGGCTGCTGTACAAGTTCTCTTTAGAGCTGCATCACTGTTTTCCAGCAGCTGCAACATGTGTTAAATTTAAATTCACCTCAAGCATTGAAAGCGGGGTTTAAGCCCACAGGAATGCCTGTAAACTGTTGCAGCAGTCGCCCGACCCTGGTGTTTACTGGTTTTATTGAGGTTCTGGTGGTCTTCATTCTCATGAAGGGAGCCAGCCAGACAGCTCATTCAGAGGCTGCAGTGATGTCAGCTGCATGCTGGTCTCCCAGGTCTTTTGGGTGTTTGTTCATGAGAATGTGGGGTGAATGCTTTTTTTCTGTCTTTTACACACACTCACACTCACACACACACACACACACTCACACACACACACACGCAGTCTTGTTTTCATCGCTTCACAGGCTGCTGTACAGTCTTTCACTCTGTTCCCTAAATTTAAGTCTTATCCAGAGTTTGTCCCAGTAAGGGAGATGGGAATTCCCCACATTGTTTGTGTAAACTTGTATCTCACAAGATTAGTAATACTGTTACACACAACATGAGTTGACATCAGGAGACTGTAACCACATTAACTTTCTACCTAAACATCAGTACCCACCCACAACATGAGTTGTACACAGAATAATGAGAAGTACACACAAAGCTGTCTTGACGCTGACATGCCCTATCCTTCAGTCAAGCTCAGTTAGTGGAAGTTTTGTCAGAACAAACAATGAATCTCCACAATGTGACTGTATGAACAGGAGTAAGGCTCTGAAGGCTCTGGCTCTTTATCATTCGTGTCTCTTCTTTTTTCTTTCCTTGTTTTTAATCATCCTTTCTCCAAAATGTGCAAATTGTTTTTTAAAGTCTTGGAATGCTGTGTGTGTGTGTGTGTGTGTGTGTGTGTGTGTGTG